TAAACCCTAAACCCTAAACCCCCAAACCCTCAAAGCTACAGGCCCTAGCCCCGCAGCACGTGCGTCACAGCAGCTCAAGTCACGTACGAATGCAGGGAGCCCTGGCCTGGTTAGCAACCACTGCAGGTTAGGGGTTTAGGGTTTAGAGTTTAGGGTTTAGGGTTTAGGGTTTAGGGGTCAAGGTTTAGGGTTTAGGGTTTAGGGTGCAGGGTTTAGGGTGTAGGGCTAGGGTTTCGGGGTTAGGGTTGTTTTGGAGTTGATATCCTACACATCTCGGGCCTGTAGTGGTGTCATATGGGGTTGATATAGGCTTTGGGTGCCGAAGCAGGTCTTTTTGCTTTCGCCAAGTCGTGCCACTCGAAGGCAAAGGCTTTCCCAAACAACTGGGGTTCAGGGTTTTATGGCCTTGAAGGTTTAGGGCTTGGGGTGTAAAAGAATGCCCCTCCGCCTGAAGTCTACCCCACCCACCCCCCGCCCATCCCCGCCCCCGGCAGGTAGCTCGAAACCCTAAGCCCTATAAACCCCCCACCCCAGCACCACAAACCCATAGAGAAGCCCCTAAACTTGCCAGAAGCCCCTAAACTTCCCAAAAGGAACCGCGGTTTTGGGTTTAGGGCTAAACCCAACAGGGGAACCTGAACCCTGAACCCTGAACCCTGAACCCTGAACCCTGAACCCTGAACCCTGAACCCCACACCCTAAACCCTAAACCCTAAACCCTAAACCCGGATGTCCAAGCAAACTGGTGCTCCGGGGCTTCGGCGCAGCCATGGTGGAGCCTAGGAAGTGCAGAAGGTGAAGGCGGAGGAGGGTTTAGGGTTTAGGGTTTTCGGGTTTAGGGTTTCGGGTTAGGGTTTATGGCTTGGGGCTGAGGTCATAGGCCCCCCAAAAAGAGTACACTTTTCTGTTCTATCGGTGGATTGTAGTATTCCTGAAAAGTGTAGAGTGGACTCATTCAGCTACTGAGTTTAGGGGATATAATGCTTTAGGGTTTAGAGTGTAGGGTTTAGGGTGCGTAGGTTTTGGGCGTATAGGGTTTAGGGTTTAGGGCTTGGGGTTTCCGGAAGGGCTTAGGTCTTAGGCACAAGGTCTCGGTAGGTCGAAGATTGGCACTTAAGGTTGTGCACTTTAGGTTTAGGGTTGATGGTTTAGGGTTTAGGGCTTCGGGTTTGGGGTTTAGGGGCTAGGCTCACAACTCACAGCTAACCCTGCTTGCCCCAAGAAGTCATTAAAACGACTCAACTTCGAACCCTGAACACTGAACCCTGTAGACCCTAAACCCTAAAAGCCATAAACCGTCATAAACCCTAAACCCGCATTAACCCCCCCCTCCCGCCAGGCCTCTCCCTAACCGTGGAAGGAAAAACGCTCAAAAACAGCAAATCCTAAAAAACCCGCATCCTTAAGCCAGCACTGGGCTGCCTTCTAGTTTTGGGTTTAGGGTTTAGGGTTTAGGGTTTAGGGTTTTGGGTTTAGGGTTCTAGGGTTCTAGGCTTCTAGAGTCTCAGGGCTTTAAGGGCTTGAAGGGTTTAGCGGGCTTGAGGGTATAGGGTCTTTGTTCGGGTGTCAAGGAATCAGGATGTCAGGAAGGGTGCACTCCACTCCTAAACCCTAAACCCTAAACCCTAAACCCTGAACCCTAAACCCTAAACCACCCTAAACCCTAAACCCTAAACCCTAAACCCTAAACCCCAAACTTGAACGTTCGAAGCCCGGGCCCCCCCCCCCCCAAGTCCATCCGCGCCAAGGTGCTGAAGCTCGCTACGTTTCGCGAGCCGGCTCACGAGCTGGGGCTGTAAGTCTTCCCAATCCAAATCTTAGGGCTTTAGGGTTTAGGGTTTAGGGTTTAGGGTTTAGGGTTTAGGGTAATATCTTAAACCTGGCACAATAGCCCAACTCCCTTAAGGGTTAGGGAAGTATGAAGTCTTTTGGGTTTTGCAGTTGCAGGTTGTACCCACAGGGCAGCGCCCTGGCTTGTAGGCCTCAACCTGATGCTTAGTGTCAGGCAGCAAAGACCGCGGAACTGGATGCAGAGATGCTCAGACCGGCCTTTTCCGCAAATTCCTAAGTCCTAAGTCCAAAGCTAGGAGCCTTTGGTTGCTAAGGGTCCTCTACTCAGGAGCCAGGGCAAGCTGGTAACTACCAGTTCGGCAAGGTGACTTAAACCCTAAGCCCCTAAACCTAGAAAGCATCAGACTAGTGTGTTCGGACTGGCCGGGTCCACTTTCCGCGGATCTCGGAGTTCTTTTCCTGGGCGGCAACACACCCTCAGCCCCCGAAGCAGCGGACCCTGAAAGCCGTACATTGAAGCCCGAGAGCCACAAAGCCCTCCCCTTAGGTAGCATTGCAGAGTTTGGAGGACTTGAAGCCTTTTCAGGTCCCTGCCCTTGAAAGCGAGGGGGCTTTTAGTTTCAGAGTTCCGCACAAGGTCACCGTTCTAAACCTGAGGCTCAATATATTTCAGAGGGGCAGTTTGGCATGGATTCAGGGCATTTGGGTCCAATGCTTTCAGCCTTAAGCCCTAAGCCCTAAACTGCAGTCCAGCTTAGATTGTAAGACAGCCCAGCCCTCGACCCCACAAAGGGCCCTGCATTTGAGAATAGGAGTAATGAATGCTTATATTGTCTTATGCTATAGATGTATGTATGTATCTATAAATATATATATATATATATATATATACAGACGCCATGATGTGTACACATGTGTATAGTCATGCATACATGAATGCAAGTCAAAAATGTTCAACTAATATGGGTGTGTATATGTTTGTGCATTGGTTTACTTCTGCACACATGCAAGCATTCAGGCTACACATCGCCACAGCTTCACCTTCAACTTCTCACCTGCCCGGTACCCACAAGGTTGCTATCCTAAACCCAAACAGCCCCCCCAAGCCATATATACATATACATATATATATATACATATATATATATATATGTATATATAAATATATATATATAAGCCCTGCAAACGTTTCAAGGTTGAGTACGCTAAGAAGCCTACCGCACCAAAGACCTACACCCCAAAACGCTAAACCCTAAGCCCTTGCTTCAACCTTGCAAGGTTGAGGATTTAGGGCTCAACCAAGGCTCAGGGCTTTGGGGCTTTTGGGGGCAGAGGGCAGAGCTCCCTACAATCCTTGAACCCGAAAGTATATAGGGTTTAGGGTCTAGGGTTTCGGGTTTACGGCTTAGGGCTGCCCCTGCCCCTGTCGCTGTCGCGGTCTTTGTCTCTGTCTCGCTCCCTGTCTCCATCTCTGTCTCCGTCCCCATCTCTATTTCTTGCCTCTCCCCCTCTCTCTCTCTCTCTCTATTTTGGCGCCGAGCATCAAAGTTCGTTTCTGGCAGAAGGCGCCAAGAGATTGAGCCAACAGGCCGCGCAGCAGCGAGGTAAGCTAAGACAACCAGGGTCTAGGGCCCTAGCGTTTAGGGCTGCAAGGTGTTCGGGTTCAGGGCTTCACGGCTTTAGCTCTTATTCGGACTTTGACATCTTTAAAATCATCAGAGGTTCGGGGCATTGTTTGGGCTAGAGAGAGGGCTCTACAATGCTATTGAATCACTCAAAGTGGAACCCTAATCGAACCAAAAGCCCAAAATCTCCGAAGGCCTCAGTGTGTTGGGATTCAACGTCGAAGGGCTGTGTTCCAGATTAGTTTGACCCTGCTGGTGGCGTCTGGGGGAAAGCAAAAATGAAAGCCCCAAAGCCCCGTTAGCCCCGTTAGCCCCGTCAGCCCCGTTAGCCCTAAGCCCTAAACCCTAGACCCTAAACCCCTTTAAAGAATTCGTCTGGTCCTCAAGGTGGACACCCGCCCCTTCCAAACAAGGTATACCGCATCCCGGGAAAAAAACCCTTGTAAACCATGCGGAAACTATGTCAGAAGCCTCTAACGATGGCACGGGAGAATAGTAAGGGACAGGTAGTAGATTTCCGTAAACCCTAAAACCCTAAACTCCCTAAACCCTAAACCCTAAACCCTAAACCCTAAACCCGAAACCCTAAACCCTAAACCTTCACGAGCTTGCGTGATCCTGCACTTTAAGACCGTGGGCTGTGTCCAGGGGACTCTTTCGGGCCACTACAAACAGGTTTCGGGTTTCGGGTTTAAACCCTCCAAGCCTGGACTCAAGCCCCCTAACCCCTATGAAGCTATGAACCTATATAAGCCTTACAAGCCCCAGAAAATTGAACACAGACCCCTGTAAACAGACCCTAAGCCCTAAACCCTACCCCACTACGCACCCACCTGGGCAGAAGAGGAGGATTTGCACCAAGCACTCCTCGACCGGCGCCTGGCGCGCAACTTATGGTTCTTAGGGGCTTCAGGGGGTGGAGTCGAGAGCCCTGAACCCTATAAACCCCATCAACCCTATAATCATAAACCCTATAAACCCTCTCAACCCTATAACATAAACCCTATAAACCCTATCAACCCTATCAATTTAACCCTATATGTATGTATATATAAACCCTGAAAACCCTATATGCGCCAGCATTCACGGACCCCCCCCCCCCCCACCCCTCTCCCCAACCCATGCCGTACCCCCTCCTCCCCCTTCCGCCTCCTGTGGTTCATGGTGGGTTTTGGTTAGGGCTTCCCCCCTCCCCTCTGCCCTGTGGTTCATGGTCCGTGATTCATGGTGGGTTTGGGGTTTAGGGTTTAGGGTTTAGGGTTTAGGGTTTAGGGTTTAGGGTTTAGGGTTAGGCTGTAGGGTTTGGGGTTCTCATTTTGCTCTCCGTGGTTCATGGTGGGTTTAGAGCTCAGGGCTTAAGGGCGCTCAGCAACTAGGGGCCATTTCTTCGGAGCCCTACGATGAAAATGGTGCCTGCCCGGCCCGATGTAAGGGTTCGGGGTAAGTTGGGGTTTAGGGTTTCGGGTTTAGGGTACCCTCAAATGCCCAAACGCATCAGATCCCGGCAAGATCCGCGCACAGCTTACAAGCAGGGAGTGCCGCCTTCAAAGAGTCCTGCGATGTTCCAAGCCGCGACGCTGAAATTCAAAATATGTGGTCGCAAGCTGGGATCCTTCCCGCGGTGGGAATCCATTGGGGCGGATGTCGAAATCCCCTCGTCTCCAGGTTGAACAGCTTTCCAAGTGCCTTTTGCACGTCCGATTCGCCTAGGATTGGGCCGCTGCTCTTCATTCCAGAATACAGCAAGTCTCCAAGAACCACTGGTCGGGTATGAATGTTGCCGCCCTCTCCAGCATGCCACCCATCCTGGGGCGGAACCGCGCCGGAGGAAAATGCAACATGGCACAAACTGTAGCCTCCATCCTCGACATGACACCAGAATGGCTCTTTCCGCGCTTTGGCGGCATCTCTCACCCTTGCCTGAAAGAGCACCATCGAGTCAACGAGATCCGCCGACGGCGATTCTAGCTGCATAAAGAAGTCAAGACCTACGTAGCAGATCTGATTCCTCTTCTTCTCCTGCCGAACGTAGAGCACGTCACAGCAAGGATATCCACCTGACACCATGACAGCGTCCTCAGGACGAATCACTGCACCCATCTCTCCTAAGAGTCGGCAACAGCGGTGGCGACGATGCAGCCGACCTCTTGCAGTCGCTTGCAGGAGCACTCTTCCCAACGAAGCCTTGCACATGCCAGAATCTGTGATGGCTCTGGATAGTAACTCGGGCTGGTCCTTTCGCACGATGGCCAGCAGAGTCTGCTCATTTGCGGAAGGATCATTGCTCCAGGCACGAGTTGTGGCAGAACGGAAACTGGTAGCCAGGCAGCTGAAGGCCCGCCTCTCTCTCACGGGCAAGAAGAAGCAGATGGCCAGAAGTGCGTCTTGCAGGACATCCCTGCCTAAAATCGCCCTCAGAAATGCACAGATGTCAAGATGACATGCTGCAATGCTGCGCTCGTGTGGAGGGCTGGCACGGAAAAGGTCCGCCTGAAAGGGCAGAATGCATGGTGCGTTCGCTGCATCCACGCGAAAGTACACCCTGCGTGGTGAGTAAGTCCTTGCACTGCAGACTAGGTCGTCCGGATTCATTGACCTCAAATCATCATCCCAACCAGCTTGTTGCCAAACCCTGCCAAAATCATCCATCAGCCTTCTTTGGCACCCGTTGAAAGAAATGGCATGGTAATGTAGAGCACTCATCTCCTCCATCGCAGATGGCAGGCCACACACCCTGAACCCTAAACCCTAAACCCTAACCCTAAACCCTAAACCCTAAACCCTAAACCCTAAACCCTAAACCCTAAACCCTAAACCCTAAAGTTCAGAGAACCAGGAGCTGTCAGTCTTTCGATGCTCTCGGAGTCGCTAGGTCTGCAAGGTACAGGACCAGCAGCTACTTTGGCTTGCTGGACCCAAGAGTAAACTAAGAAAAAAACGAGTTTGGGGTTTAGGGGGTTTAGATTTAGGGTTTAGATTTAGGGTTTAGATTTAGGGTTTAGGGTTTAGGGTTTAGGGGAAGTTCCCTTCTTTAGATTAAAGGCGCTTATAAGGGCCTCTAGGTCCTAGCTTGTTGTCAGGGCATGGGACTACAGTGGTTCTTGAGTGGACGATGGTAGATCTGCCACGCTACTTTCGCCTCCTTGAGCAACATGAACAGCAATAAAGCATAACAAGAGGATTATACCCTAAACTCTAAAGCCCATCTATAGCACCATCTGGCATTTCAGCTGCAGGGGCTTGGCCAACTGCGAGGCAACGTGCGGACTTCAGATCATCGGAGCGGCTCGTGTGCACCCCAAAATGACCTACGTAGTGTGCACCCTGTGTGAACACCCTTAGAGCCTTCGGTCCACCCGCCCCTAAACCCTAAACCCCAAACCCTCAGCCCTAAACCCTGAACCCTTAACCCGAAACATGAACCCTAGGTTGATTTCGGGTTTGCGACTGGGGGGAGGGCTTCCAATCCTAAGCCCTAAACCCTGCCTTTCAGGGTTAAGGGCATATAGGGACTGCTTGGAGGTTCTTGGGGGATTCTAACCCCAAATAGAATCGTATTGAAAAGTTTTAAACCCCCCCCCAAGTCCCCTAAGTGGGTCATAAGTAAATTTTTAATTCGGGGTATAAGTACCACATGGTTTGGGGTTTAGGGTTTAAGGTTTAGGGTTTAGGGTTTAGGGTTTAGGGTTTAGGGTTTAGGGTTTAGCGTACTTGGAGCGTCATGGGTACTTATAACCCCAAATCTCACTATAGTTAAGCACCCCCCCCCCCAATCCCCTAAGTAGCTTATAAGTAGATGTAGAATTGGGGTCCTCCAAGTAGTTCTCCAAGTCAGGGTCCCTTTTTTTTGGGGGTCCTTGTGTTAAAGGTGCCGTACTAAGACTAGACAGGGAACCCGAAAGGGACCCGAATTAGATGACTACGAGCACTACCTGATACGTTTCTGGAGTTCCCTGGTTTCGGGGCTTCCATTTTTTTGTTTCTATCCTTTGGACACTTCTTCCTGCACGATAGAAGACCCGATAGTGTCGGGTAAGCCGAAAACCCCCTAAACTCCCAACAAACCTCCCTAAACCCCTTAAGCCCCCTAAGCCCCAAACCCTAAACCCTACACCCAAAACCCAAACCCTAAACCGCCTGAGACCCTTAACCCCCAGTCCCTGGAAACCCGAAGACCTGAAGGCCTGAGCCCTAGAAACCCTGACCCCAAACACCCCGAAACCCCCTAAGACCCTTAACCCGAGAGGGACAACCCAGGAGACTAGGCTGCCCAGTAACCAAGGCTTAACAAGGGTGCCCTTTTTTGCTTAAAGGGGTATATAAGGGAACCTAAACCCCCCAAAAAGGGAATAAGGGTACTACTGGGCATCCGAGCCCTTAACCCGAGAGGGACAACCCAGGAGAAGGGCCAGCCTCGATAATTGGAGCGGCTGGGGCCTGACGGAAGCGAAGGGGTCCGCAACGCCCGGGCTTGGGTTTGGGTTTTGGGTTTTGGGTTTTGGGTTTTGGGGTTTGGGGTTTGGGGTTTGGGGTTTGGGGTTTGGGGTTTGGGGTTTGGGGTTGTAGCGCTGGGGTTTTCAGGTCTAGGGTTGAGGGTTGGTCTAGGGGCTTTCGGGTTTAGGACTCAGGGTGTGTTCAAGCCAGTAGGAGGTCAGGGTTCGAAGGTTAGGGCTTTGTTTATTGGGGTGAGGGTTTAGGGTTTAGGGTCTAGGGTCTAGGGTTTAGGGTTTTGGGGTTTGGGGAGATACCCTAAACCCTCAGTCCGTGAGAAGATTTGGAGCACACATTGAGACTGCGAGCCTCCTCCGGCGCCGCCGCTTCATCCGCCGGCCTTCCAAGCCCGAGAAATCCTAAGGGTTTAGGGTTTAGGGTTGGTTTAGGGTTGAGTGTTTAGGGTTTAGCGTTTAGGGTTTAAGGCTTTAGAGTTTCCCCAAACCCGCATGTAAACATCCCCTCCCCCCACCCGGCCCCAGTTAGAGGCATGTAGAACTCGGTAGAATCAGAACCATGGCAACATGGCGAAGCAGACTGGGAATCAAGTCCTAGAGTACATGCATAGATAGAACTGGTGTTCTACGTAGGAAATTGGCAGTGTTGACGGGCTATCACTTGATTGAAATTCGTCTCACCTTGGGAATCGCTACCCCTGCAAGGCAGTCTCATTCCAAAGCGGCATTGGGAAAAGTCTCGATGAGGAAGGGAAAGACGGTTTAGGGTTTAGGGTTGCTAAGATCTAACAACCGGCTCATCAGCACATCCCTCAAGCCAGAACAAGAAACCTGGGTCTCTGTGCACCTTGCCGCTACTTCGTGTCAGACTCTCGCTTAGACCATTCCTTGTTGAGATGGTTCAGGGTCCAGGGTTTGGATTTTGGGAGGCAGTTTAGCGCCTAGGTCTCAGGACTCAGAGCTTAGGATGTTTAGGTGTTCGTTTAGGGTCTATATAACAACTTGATATCATCGGGAAAAAATAGCAGGCAATTGGGTACCCAGGCAGCCACATCGGCGTGGACGTGTAGGGAGGGTAGCGACATGGGTTTAGGGGACTTTGGGCACTATAATTCAACCCTAGCCCTACCTATAAGCCCTAAACCCTATGAACCCCTAAACCTCCTAAACCCCTAAAAAACCCTATAAACCTCTGTAAACCTACCAAACCTACAAAACCTACAAACCCTATATGTAAACCCCAGGAGCCCTATTCACCCTATAAACCCTAAAAGCAAGTCAAGGGAAATTTGGGGGGGGGACCCAAGGTGAAAATCCTGAACCCTACATCGGGGCTCAGACAGGGCTTCGTCGTCCAGCTTCTTCTTCCGGCGGCGCATGAAGCTGCGGTTCTGACTCGGTTTATAATCGCCCCGGACGAAGCCGAGAACCCATCTTTTGAATATTGAAGGGAACTACTAGCTACTAGATCTTGCCAAGGTCATGCTAGGTCATCTTTAGGGTTTTGGGTTTTGGGTTTAGGGTTTAGGGTTTAGAATCCATGGCTTCGTCAAGAAACATGCTGCTTCCTCAGTCCAGGTTTTGGAGGGCCCAGCCTATTTTGGGGCTCAGTGCTCTAAACTTCTCGAAGCCCTGGGGAACTAAAACCCGTAGGCCCAAAAGGACAACAACAACTGAGCCCTAAACCCTAACCTCTAAACCCTAAATCCCCGAAAAAACAAACTGAGACCTATCCCTAAACTCTAAACCCTAAACCCAAAAAAACAAACTGAAAGCTAAGCCTAAACTCTAAACCCTTAACCCAAAAAAACAAACTGAAACCGAACCCCTAAACTCTAAAACCCTAAACCCCACCAAAAAAAACAAACTTTGTCTCCTAAGCCTTACCAACAAGAGCCGACACTCCCGGTCGGCGCTCTGATCCGAAGCTCGGAACTGGCGAGTGCAGCCCACGAAAGCTCTAAGAGGTTTAGGGTTTAGGGTTTAGGGTTTAGGGTTTAGGGTTTAGGGTTTAGGGTTTAGGGTTTAGGGTTTAGGGTTTAGGGATGTTTAGGGTGCAGGGGCTTTTTTAAGCGGCGGCGTTTCAGGGTTTGGGATTTGGGGTTTAGGGTTTGGGTTTTGGGATTTAAGGGTTTAGGGTTGGAGGGTTTGGAGATTGGGGACTGTAAGGAAATTCGGGTACAGAGACTTGCTGGGCGTCAAGGCCTTGAAGCCCCAATGCACTGGCCGGAGACTGGGGAACATGTAGTTCTCTAGATTGGGGTCCCTTTTGGGATCCCTTCTAAAAGGGCGCCGCCTTATAATGGGTACCCAAAAAGGGACCCGAACCCTAAACCCCGAACCCCGAACTCTAAACCCTAAACCCTAAACCCTAAACCCTAAACCCTAAACCCTAAACCCTAAACCCTAAACCCTAAACCCTAAACCCTAAACCCTAAACCCTAAACCCTAAACCTAACCCTTATACCAGCTCTGATTTACTCGGTTGGCCCTTCGGTGCCCTGTGGGGGTGCCTCACAGTGGAGGTCCTTCATGTTTAGGGGTGTAGGAGATGAGGATGCGGGGTTGCAGCAGGGCTTAGGGTTCAGGGGTTCAGGAGTTTAGGGCTTTAGGACTTTAGGGTTTCAGGTTTGGGCGGCTGAGGTTCTGGGGCTTAGGCGACCTCCTCCGAAACTGCATCGTGATCCTGGAAACCAGACATCCTGAACCGTTAACTACCCGGTGTAAGACTCAAATCTCTGGGGTTTAGGCTTTTTCTTTTTGGGTTTAGGGTTTGCTTCAGCAGGGCGTTGTTGCAAATATGTGAACCGTGACACATTTTGCAACACTATCCTTGGCCTTGACTCTAGACAGATGCTTAAACCCTTCGTTGCTTACAGGGTTTTGTAAGGCAACCCAAAACCGCCAAAAAGGGAATAAGGGCACCAGTGGGCATCCTACAGTCCCAACGGCCAGAAGCAGACGTGCCTCTTAGGGTAGGCATAGTATGCGCCCTCAAAAGGGGACCCCTTATATACCCCTTATATGCCCTATGGCCCATACGTCAACCCTTTAAAGAGGCTAAGGGCCCATCTTAAGGGCCCATGCAACTACCCTTTGAGTGCCTCGGCGTGTGGGTGTCCTAGATGCTTTCAGGGCCTAGGGGCCCAGCCCCTTGAACATCCCCAAACTTTGAACCAGGAACATCCCTAAACCCTTTAGGGCTTAGGGTTTAGAGTTTGGGGACCCTTTAGGGTTTAGCGTTTAGGGTTTAGGGTTTAGGGC